ACTAGATTCATGTGTTGTTACTTCACATTTTGTGAAAAAAAAAACCCAAGAAAATGTATGTTACTTTTTTCGTATGCAGCTAGAATGGCGGTACAAGCAGGAGCAGCAGGTATCATCGTGTCTAACCACGGTGCTCGTCAACTCGATTATGTCCCAGCCACAATCATAGCCCTTGAAGAGGTACCAAAAATCAAATTCTTTATTACAATTGAACTCTTGATGATTGTGCTATATACTACTGGCTCTAGGTTGTTAAAGCAGCTCAGGGAAAGATTCCGGTGTTCTTAGACGGTGGGGTTCGTCGTGGTACCGATGTTTTCAAAGCCCTTGCGCTTGGAGCCTCAGGCATATTCGTAAGTGATAGTAGTTTTCTTGCTAGACGAGAAACCATTCTCTCTTTCTTGGGATACAAGAAACTCATTATTCGCTTCTTATCGGTTTCTGAATCTTTTGGGAAACAGATCGGACGGCCGGTGGTGTTCTCGTTGGCGGCGGAAGGAGAGGCCGGAGTGAGGAAAGTGTTACAGATGATGAGGGAAGAGTTCGAACTCACAATGGCATTAAGTGGATGCACTTCTTTGAAGGAGATTACGCGTAACCACATTACCACAGATTGGGATGCTCCTCAAGCACGTTTAGTCCCAAAGCTGTAGATAGATATACACCAAAAATGAAACAATGTGTATGTGTTAACGTTGTCTCCTCGTCTTCTATCGTTTGATTTGGTGTATTGTAAATTTCAATGTCAATCGCTACTCTTCTGTCTTTTCGTTTTTCTTTGTGTATCACAAAATAGGTATTTCTAATCATTTCTATGATAGTAGTTTTTTTTTTTTTTTAAATCGTGGGAGTTCCGAACCTTTGGCTCATTATCTTCTCAATATCCTGAGCCAGTGTTTGGATATTCCTAATCCTCCGTACCAAAGGGGGTTTGAACCTGAGACACAAAAGATTCAACCTTCTTGTGTTACCACCACCACACTTTTGGTGCTATGATACAGTTGCATTAAGTTTTTTTTAGGTTTTTAAAAGACAAAACGTCAAAAGACACAGAGGCGTAAGAGCAAACTTCGAACAACAAATCATACCTGTCCTTTCAAGACTCCTACGGCCAAACTAAACGCTTAACTATATATTATCTTCTCTTTTTTTCCTCCTATATTTTTTTTTTAAATCCAAAACATATATAAACTTGGATCTAAAAATTTATATCTTTATTGACAGATATTAGTGTCAAAACTATATCTGCAATGACGAACAATATAGCTAAATATATTATGAACCAATTCAGCTAAATTGGGTTTATAATTTTTTCTCCCTGATAATGTTGATAATATGATCGATTCATTATAGACATATATATTGTTTCATATATCAGAAAATAGCGTAAGAACCAAGCTGGATTTGCTTGCGTTGCGTTCGATATTTCACGACAACAGACTGATATCATCATATAGTTGAAAAAAAAACAATCGCGATTCGCTATTATTTCATTAAAAATTGTTAGAACATGTATCTAGAAGTTTCTACAGTTTACATTTAGACTCGAATGAACTCACACACTGTACACCGTGGCATTTGAGCTTCTATCTGCAAACTCGTCACTTTGTTTTATTTATTTTAAAGAGATTAAAATACAGAAAACTATTTATATGGCCTCGAATTCCAAGACAACTTCAGCGTATTTTTAGGCAAATATACTATTTGAAGATATAACTATAGAGATATTCTATAAATACGCATGATTTTGTTGCGAATTTTGGTCAATCATTTTTTCATTTATCACTATTTTTTCTTTATAGATCATGAAAATTCCAGATTTTCGATTTGTAATCTCTCCCAATATCCAAAAAACAGTTTTAAGTATATTCTTTTTAAAGATCTTTTCATCCCAAGTAAACTCCAACTAGGGTTCTGCTTTTTTAAAAGAACCACTAATATTTTATCACCGTTTCGCTTTGATAAATACAAAATTTGAACCTAAACCAGTCTATAGGCATAATATATGTAGATTTGAAAAATAAATAAAGATGCCCCAAAATAAGAGGGGCCATGTAGTGTATTACATGTTCAAGGACCATAACAATAGATTAGTTTAAAAAAAAAAAAAAAAGAGAATCAATTGATTGGCTAATGTGCAATGCAAGTGATATGCTTACGTATACGTGCTTCAGAGTTCAGACCAATAAGGGTAAGATAAAAGATCATAAGAAAATATATTAAAGTATTGCTCTTTGATACAAGTCAAAATTGTGAGATGCATCATGTATCCACTTCCAGTATGCTATAATTAGGAAGCGCAACAACCTAGACGTAAATCCAAAAATGACGCAAGCCAATAAAATAGATCCATAATTATTTACAGTAACAATGTGGCTTAAATATCTAAAGTTTTCATTGTCAACAAGAAGCTAAAGTTTTTTTTAATGAAAAAAGCATTTATAGGTTTATAAAAGTTTTCATACACCATATGAAACATTTTGTAACATACAAAATAACGATAACACAATTCAATTCATACTACGCGGAATATTAATGTTGTGGCGATTCGAAAACACCATTTTGCACTATTTTGCTTGTGAAAACCAATTTAAAAGATGTTGAAGTATTTTCATATTTAGAGGCAATTACGCAGTCTAAAGAGCTTCAACATTTTTCATGATATCAATTATTTCTTACCTATCCTATCCATGAATTGAAAAATAAATAAAATTATCTTGCTAACACACACACACACAGAAATCGCATGAAGACAACAAACGAGTATATAGGACCCGACCAAAAAAAAAAAAAAGAGTATATGACCCACTCTCAAAACAGATATCACATGAGATATTTTGGGTTTCCACATTTAAAGGTAAACATTCCTTCTAAGAAATTTTGAAGCCACGCCTATATGGCCATATACAGGTTCCTACGCACTTCACACGGAGATATTTACACAGAGATATTTTGAAGCCATGCCTATATATATATTATATAGGTTCTTTCAAATATACTATACTAGATTTTGACCCACGCCAAGCGTGGAATTAAATATTAAAATATATTCTCTAATCAATCTTAATATTTAAATGTGTATTCTAATATTTATAAACGTACAAAATGATATGTATTGTGCATAAATATAATAAAATTAAATTTTTACTAAACATATTTCAATGTCATATGTTTTGATCAATTTTGCATAAAATATTAAAACTAATGAAAATGTTATTTATTTTAATTTATTTGAAGTGTCAGATTGAGTTTTATTATTTGTGTAAATAGTAGAGTATGCGAGAAATCAAATAAATTTTAAATTTATATAAATTTGCCGGACGTAACAAACAAAAAATATATGTTTTCTAATAATAAAATATAAAAATATTTGTAAATGTAGTTATTATCTACAAATAAATAATATTGTTACAAATATAATAATAAAAAGCTTTTTAATATATCAATTTAAAAAAATAAAAAAATAGATGATATAATAAGTCTAAATATTACATTTAGTTAAATTTAACTCTGTAAAATACATATTAATGAGTTTATGTTATAAAATTAATAAAAACATATAGAGATTTCCACCATAGCATATAGTTTTATTTAAAATATTTTTATTAGTTAATTTAAATGACATATTCCTTAAAACCCTCATTGAATACATATGATTTTTTCATCAAATGTCTATTCAATTAATATATAGAGGATTAGTGACATTTAAAAAAAAAATTTCAAAATGATGATATTTTTGAAGAGTGTTCTAAAAAATTATATGCATTTAGTATAAGTATCATGCAAATTAAATTTTGTAAGATAAAATATATTTATCAATATATTTATCTATACTGGAGATATATCTTTGTTATTTTTAATTTTTCCTACATATGAAAAAATCATGAATTTTTTTTGAATATTCTAATCCCGTATTTAACGCATGTCAAAAAAATCTAATAGTCATTAAAAAAAAAGATATTCTCACATATACTTTATATTTATTAAATAAAAAATTTCATATTAATTACCACATCTTTGCTTCCATATTTGTTTAATAGTTATATATTGTATATGTGATATAAATTTAGTCTAATTATTTACACAATAATGTTATTAAAAAAAATTAATAGCTTTCTTTAAAAATTCCTTTAAACCCTCTTTGGATGACACTTAAGATTTTCACTTAGTGTCTCCTCTATATATGGATAAATAAAAATACAATTTATGAAATATCACAATAAATCATCCTAGTAATCTACTCTATACTGCATTGCAAAATGTAGAGTAATTAAAGACTATTACAACCCGTGAAAACCCTAGCAGTCACCGAACCTTCTCTCCCTAGGAAGTCAGAAGAAATCAATCGCTCGGATTGGTGATCGGCGACTTCGTTAGCACCGTCCTCGGTCTTCTGTTCGTCGCTAGTATAGCTTGTGTCGTTTAGATGGTGTCGCCTTGGACTTCGGGTCAGATTCGTTTATCGTTGGAGATTTGGAGATCTGATTCAAGCTTCTTCTGAGACGGTGGTGGCAAGGGTGAAGGCGAACGAGGGTGCCGATCCTATCTTTGGATGACGGAGTTCTTATGCAAACACCATCGGTTATACCTTCTAATTTTCACCGCGGTTATTGTTCTTGAGCCTATTGTGGGCTCAGCGAGATCTTCTGTTCGCGATTGACCATGTCGCCTAGGAAACTTCAGGCGTGTCTTCCTCTGGTTTCCATTGATTTCGGGTTTGTTTCCTTTAGATCTGGTTTTGACAGTTTCATCAGTCTAAGATTTAGTGTAGTTTGAAATTAAGGTGTTTAGTATTGTTTGTTTTTGGGCTGCTAGTGTATCACCGTAGATGTTGGAGGTTGGAGTTCTCTGATGTGGGTTTGGTTTTGTCCTTGGATACTTCTGCATTTGTTTTGTTTCTCTCTGAGTTCTGTGTTTTGATTTGGGCTTGGTCTCGTCGATGGGATTCGTATTTCGGATAATAATTCATTGTGGAGGCATCTACTAGCCTATCTCTGAGTCTTTTGTGGTTTTGGGGTTTGGTTTTTAGACAAAGTAATGGTTTCGATTTTTAAATCTTCTCTTGCGAGGAGATGACCAGTTTTAATCTGTAAGTGATTGAAGCTGGTTTGCGAGTGTCCGCGTGTAAGAGTTATGGGTCTTAAAAGGTGTTTTCCCTATTGGAGGTCAAGGCTCTTCTTTGAACCTAGTTCATCTCGAGGTTTTAGATTATTTGGAGTGTTCTTTTTGGTGTGGTTGCTTAGCTATGTTTCTTATTTCTCATGAGATCTTTCTCTGCTAAAGTTGTTGTCGGTTGAGCTTGCTTTAGGTCCATCGACAGGTACTCTGGTTTGTGGAGTTGCTTTTGCCTTATGGTTGTTGGCACAACTTCTACATCTTCTGGTTCTTGGAGAAGTCTTGGGAGGTTTTTGGTTCAAAGTGTAGCTTGTAGTGTCGAGGGTTCCATCTTCTTTCCTAGTTGGTACTCTAACTCATGTTTTTTATGCTTATGGTGTTTTTGGTAGTGTTTTCTTTTGCTTATGGGATTCTAGTTTCTTGGGACTTAGTC